TGTACTTAGGGATTTTATAGCATTTTTAGTTCTTTGGTCCCAGGATGCTGTTTACAATAGGTAAATCTATTAGTTGAGTCTTGCAGATTTATGCCCATTTACAGGAATGCATTATGTACAGATGTAGAAGGAAAACTACCCGTACCTAGTTGTCTTGTCTCTATGCCCATTTGCTTAAGCTAAACAAACAAACAAAAATTGGATGTCAGAGTGGTGGAGGCTGCAGAACACGCACACGAAAATTCAAACGACTTCAGATTCAGGAGCTGGGGCAACCATCCCAACTCCTGCGTGGGGAAGAGCCGGGCCCAGCGCAGCTGCACACCAACCTCCAGCAAAGGCACGGGCGCAGGTGGCACTGCCTGACAGACAGAAAGCCTTCAGGGTTGCTGCTTGCTTTCAGATGCTATGGTGGAAAGAAACTAGATACATAAATTGCATTGAAGTTCACGTTCTTCTTCTTTTTTTTTTTTTTTTTCTTAAGTAGGCTTCCCATTCAGCGGGGAGCCCGATGAAGGGCTTAAACTCATGACCCTGAGATTGAGACCTAAGCTGAGATCAAGAGTCTCTTGAGAGACTGAGCCACTCAGTCGCCCTAAATTCACATTTCTAAAGAGCAGCTAAATATACGGCCTCAGAGCACAACGCCCTGTGCCCGTGTGTGTCCGATTCTGTCCTCAATCTGCAGTTACAGTCAGACACCCAGAAGCTTCCTTTTAGGTGTGGTTTTTAGCAGCCAGCCCTACCTGTCTTCATCAGACTGCCTTCCTTCGCCCTGGATGAAGTGAAGAGGAAATTTCTACGCACCCACTCATCAGGACTACAAGACTCAACTCACATCCTCCGAAGCCTCAGGATGGAACACGAATCCTTTTAACTATCTGGGCACAGTAGTTGACTATCAGGAAACTGCCTGTGGCTTCCACACATTGCCACACTATTTACACAGCTGATGGAAGTTTGCCCTGTTGAAGAATCTGGCTCGAGAGGATTCCCCTTAGAATTCCCAAAAGGCCCATTCACCCTGTCACACCCACACAGATGCCTGTGGAGATAGGAACAGTGGGGCTCATTTTCTACCTTCTTCTGTACACACTATAATTCTACACATTTATTTAAAAGGCGGGGGGGTGTCAGAGATGAGCTAGGGGAGCTACAAAACCTTACATTATATATTTTCAAAAACTATTTTAAGTAAGGTCAACACCCCCCTTCCCCTGTCACTCAAACATTCTTCTGCTTCATTCAGCAGCCCAAACTCTGCCTTCAAGTTCACAGGCACAAAGCAGGGCTGGGACGTGACTCCCAACAGAAAATGAACCTCTTCAAGGCAGAGAGAGAGGGAACCTCAAAATGTGAACCAACTCTCAGAACCCAGAGGAGAGAAGCAGCAAAGTGGAGGCCTTAACGTTCTTTTTCTTTAATAATTTAAAGGCTTACTATTAGCAAAGGAAAAGAAAATATCAGACAAGTGATTTTGGCATGATAAGAAGAGAAAGAGGAGGTGATAAAATGGAGTAATTTCCAAAAGCTCTTCTTGGTTTTTTAAAGATAAAGGTTAATTTTCATCCTGTCCATTATGAAAACACATTGAAAATGACAGAAAGCTATTCATTCCTCCAACTCACTACTAACTGGGATCACAGTGGCAACTGAATCCTGCCAGCCACGGGGCCTGCTTTTCCTAGCTGTGAATGACCTCTTTCACTAGGAAAATTGGTCAGGAAACAACTCTCCTTTTGGGAAAGAGGTGTGTATGAGACGTTAAGCGTATATCCAAAATGTTCCCTCCCCTAATTTCCTTCTCCTGCTGCCTAGCCTAAATAATTAATCTTCCTATATTGCTCAAATAAGCTCCTTCTATATCAGCTCAAGCTAAAGAAGGAGGAGGAGAAAAGGTAACCGATTCTCACACATATGTCCCACTTCTTTCCTTTGGAGGAGGCAAAAGTGTAATCTCAGGTTTAAAGGCTTAGGTTTTGATGCCAAACTCTGAGTTTGAGTCTTGACTCTGCTGAATGAATACCCAACTTTGCACATGACTTTCATCTCAATCTCCTTATTTGGAAAGTGGGACAATTAGTGGTTCCTAACTTTTGGGGTTTTTGAGCAGATCAAATATAATATACCTCAAACAGTAGCTGAAACAATGTGGGTACTCAGTAGAAGTTCAGGATGACTATCATGGGCTCTTTCACCTCTAAACGGTCAGATTCAAGCAAAGACAAAAGGCAAACAACACTAATTAGAGACTGAAAAAGTCACAGAATTCTGAACTCCTAGTGTGGCAGAAGCAAATGAAAATCAATGCAGTTATTCCTATATTAAAAGTCTAGACGTGATATTATGCTTGTGATTATTTACAGGCTAATGATTTGTAAGAGGTAGGGAGAAAATGGTCTGTCTGTATACATGATGATAGGAAGAGCTTTACTTAAGAAATGAAGAACTTAGAGGGGCACTTGGGTGGCTCAGTGGGCTGAGTATCTGACTCTTGATTTCGGCTCAGGTCATGATCCCAGGGTCATGGGATGGAGCCCCACATCCATGCTCAGCTCGGAGCCTGCTTAAGACTCTCTCTCTCTCTCTCTCTCTCTCTCTCTTGCTCTCGCTCTTGCTTGCTCTTTTTTTCTCTCTGACCCTCTCCCCTGCTCACACTCTCTCACTCTCTGAAATAAAAGAAAAAAGAAATTAAGAGCTTAGGAAAAAAGCAATGTAAAAACGAAGAACTAAAAAAAGACAAAAAAGAAAAATACCTACAAAAGAAAAGGTTAATGAACAAGCCACAAACTAACTTCATGTTCAGCTGATCTTCATAATAATGATGCTGTTTGGGGACAGAAATAACCTCATATTATAGGTTTTCTGGGGTCTGAGAGGGAGTTTACTATAAATAACCGTGTACTCTGGGCATTGAGTTAGACCCACAGTGAAAATCAATCTCTACCCTCCCCCTCTCATAAGGTCCAACTTAAACCCTTTCTTATCCCCTCAAAAGAGAAGCCTGGCCCTGCGATTAAGAAAAAAAGCAGCCAGAGTACATCAAATTTGGGTAGGAGTACTGGAACCAGTTATAGCTATGCACTTGTAGGTTACATAACCTTGCTGAGCTTCAGTGTCCTTATCTGAAAAATGGGACTACTAACAGTACCTATCTCAGGGTCTATGTGAGCATTCAGTGTGAAAATGGACATTGGGAATAAAGGTCTCCCATCATTAAGTGGCAGCAGGTAAAGCCTAATCCAGTTGTCCATTCATGGATAAATCTAGAGATGTTAAGATCTAGCTCTAGGTCACATTTCATTTCAAAGCCTGAATTAGTACCTAAATCCTGATTCCTAATTCTGCATTTTTGCACTAAACACAGCTTCCCTGCTCCCACAGAGCTTTGCAAGTATTTTTCCACATAGATTTTGTCCTTTTCTGAACATCAACTGCATTTTTAGCCAGTATTACCAGGCTAAAATAGCACATGGATACTCTCAAATGATAAATTGGTTCCCTCAACTATATAATAAGTAAGTTCCCCGAAGTGCCAGAAGAGGTTTCAAATGTCTCCTCTCTGTCCAAAGGTGTCTGCTCAAGTGTTGGGCACATAATACTGTTAACTGGTCAATAGGATGGTTTCTTTAGGAAGAGGTGTTACTCTGAGAAAAATGTTATTGTGAGGAAGAATGCTGACCAGCTAGCTGTTCACGTCTGCAGAATATCAGACGAGAAGAAACGGATTTTGAACATGCCCAAAGAGACACATAAAAAATTAACTGCAAGGCAATTGAAACACAGGATAATGGAACAAAGAAGGCAGAGGGTTCTCTCCTCATGTAAGTGTGTTAAAAATAGACAGTCTATTTTTTGGTAAAAATAGGATGACACAGGCCATTGGCTCCTAATGTGTAGTCCATAAATCTCAAATATTGTAGAGCTACTCCAAATAATCTGCATATTGATTTGCCATGTCAAACTTTGTAGAAAATAAATAATGTCTTGTACCTCAATACAATATTTCCCCCAAAGGCGTGTGCAGTCCATTTTGATTTAATATTTAATAAAACACAAATTCTTTAAAGGCTCTGTGGATTTGGTTGTAACTTCTGTCTATTATATATATATATTTTTAATCAATCAATGAAACAGTGGCTAACATTCACTGGGCATTTAGAGTGCGGCAACCACAGTGCTAACCATGTGATAAAAATTACGTTGTTCGCCTCTTATTACCACCCAAAAGTGAAGTACGGTTGTTGTCCCCATTTTACACATAAGAAACAGATTTGTAGAGTTTAAGGGACTCACCCTTTGGTTTTATTGGTAGTGAACAATGGAGCTGGAATGGGGCTCCAAAGCTTGTGGTTCTACCCATTGTTAGGCCACTATCTAAATGACGGGTGTAAACCATTAGACCTATTTTTATCCATTTAGGAGGTGGGTGTTTATCCATGAATTTTGATGTTTAAAAAAAGATTCTCATGTCTGCGAAGGCTGGTAACAGCACAAAAAGGAATTTAAAAGTAGCTCCAGGATAATTAGTTCTGTGACTCTAAGCAAGCCAGGTGCTTAGAACTGAGGGATTCAACTGGTTGTTACCAAGTGGTTGAGACAGCGCCAAGCAAGAAATTCTATCATTCTATAATTCAGATCAGCGTTTCCCAAAGTATATTCTGCACAACTCTGGTCCCAAGGGATGCTCTATAGAAAAAAGGTTTCCACAGTCCACCAGTTTGAGAAACACCATAAACTAAAGAACCATTCATAGACAAAAGGAAGTATCTTCTTTTGGAAATCTGCAATTACACCTTCACATTTTAAAAGCTCTGAGAAGTCCTACAGTGCACTGGCTTACACAAATTAAACATATTCTCCTCTTGTAACACTTCTCAACAAGGAAAATTTTTTTCATTTTGTGGAACCCAGAGTACCTAAAATACTTGGGCATCAAACCTCTCTGTACATAATTATTTCATGGAACTAGTTTCACAGACTATTCATTAGGTTATAACCTGACTTTGGCAGTTAAAGTGTTTTTGTATTAATGAGGTACGCTATAAAAGGCGACCTTTCGAATCTTCCCCAAACTATCATTCTATAGTGGTGTTGGCTTCCAGAAAGCTATTTAGTCTAAAGGTATGTTTATCTAAGGACCATATAGGCCTGCAATTTTTTCTCTTCAAGCATGGAGTAAAATTTTTATAATGACATTCTGAAAATTATGTTTTTTTATTCTTCAAAATCTAGTCTAATGATTCTCAAACTTTACCATGATCAGAATCCCCTGGAGAGTGTTAAAACAAGGGTTGCTAAGTCTACCTCAGAATTTCTCATTCAGTAGATCAGGAATGAGGTTGAAGAATTTACACGACTAACAAGTTCCCAGGTGGTGCCAATATTGCTGGTCTGGGGACTGTACCATTCATCTAACCTCTTCTATTAGATTTAGACCTTGAAGTAGAACATGAAAGATATCTGGTGTCTGCTTCCATCATCAAGAGCTGTCACCCCTTCTCTTGTCTCTGTAAGTTTGACTCTTGAGTATTTAGCCAAATGTCTATGGTGTTTTCTTTGTACTTCATATTTTCCACTTGCAAGTTTCAAAAGCTTCAGGAATCAAAGATGAAGAAAGGAGTTAGGAAGATAGTGTCTTTGATGAAGCTTTAATAAAAAAGATATTAATTTATTTAAGAGTGAAATCTCAGGGTGCCTGGGTGTCTCAGTCGGTTTAGCGTCCAACTTTGGCTCAGGTCATGATCTCACGGTTCGTGGGTTTGAGCCCCGTGTCGGGCTCTGTGCTGACAGCTCAGAGGCTGGAGCTTGTCTTCAGATTCTGTGTCTCCCTCTCTCTCTGATCCTCCCCTGCTCACCCTGTCTCTCTCTCTCTATCTCTCAAAAATAAATAAAACATTAAAATTTTTTTGGAAAAAAAGAGTGAAATCTCTTATTTCTCATTTAATTATATGGATTGAATTTCAGTAGAGTGAACTTTTTCTCATCTCCTTGGAGGAATGACTAAGAAGTATTTTGTAAAGATAGATGCGCTTTACATCACTGACACTTGGGCTGGGGATCTGTTCAGTGGAAACTGCAGACTTTTATTCCTAGACATTTAATTTCTATAATATAAATTTTTATGATGCCAAAGAAGCTTTAGAGTCAGGCTTTGAAATAATGGTGATTATAAGTCTAGCTACAGAATCACAAAATTGGCACTGCCTGGTATAATAGATGTGTGCCTCAAAAATTGCAAGTCAAATAATTGTCAGTTGGATCCCATTTACATATTTATATATTCTAATTTTAGACGTGCCCAACTGACAGTGTTTTCTAACTCTTCAGTGTGAGGTTTCTGATTCATTTGCTCTCTCCAACCCTACTTACCTGTAAAGGAAGAAAGGACAGAAGCCAATTTTTACTGCACATCTTCTACGGGCTACTTCATTTCATCTATATCAAACCTCTGATGAGGAATTGATCCCAAGAAAAGTCAAGGCCCAGAAGGGGGCCAGTCACATGGTTAACCAGCAGCATTAGGACACAGCGAGACTAATCCAGAGTCCCCTCACCCTTCACTGCCCATCACCAACTGCTCTGCCTCAAATTCCTAGTGATCCTTTGATGGCATAGGGGAGCTCCCTCCTTAAAGGACAACTGAAAGGGAGAATTATTTGGTGTTGGGATGAATTACCCATAATCCAGAAGTCTTAAAATGATCATTTTCACATATGTGTCACCTTAGAAGTGAAAACACCAAAAACTGAAATTAAGGGAAAGAGGCAGGGAGGGTGCTAACTAATGGATAAAATTAAATCAAAATGTTTTACTCAGAAGGATAAAAAAGATTACAGCTTTACAGACTGTTGTTTAATAAGTCCAGCAAATAACCCGAGGGTGTAGTAAAAAAGGTATGATTTAAAGGTTCTCCATGAGTACCTTTATATTCACCTGAGGCTTAAGAAGGCACATGCAGCGTTAGCCCAAGTGAAGACAGACCGACAACTGAGCACTGCCATGGTTATGGAAAGCAGTTCACGGCAGGGCTCTTGGTGAAAGGGAAAACATCCCATCTATCCTGGCTCGGAAACTACCCAGGCTCTGAAACCCTGTGCAAACAAAGTTCTCCCAAGTAAGCGGAGCTCTGCCCACAGAGCATTCTTCAGGGCTTAGTACATGTGTAAGCTGAGTTCCCCACTATTATCCACACTATATCAGGAAGGATTTTATGAATGTGTGACCTTAGGTTTTTAAAGGAGACCACGGAAGTCGACAATGACCTAAGCTACCTGTGAATGTCAGCCTTTCAGCGAAAAGAATGTTACTGATGAATCCAGGCAGCTCCCCAGCTCTGAAATCAGGCAAGAAATTGCCAATTTTAATAGTTAATTGGGCGTGAGAGACACCACAATTGGGCAGTTCGTGATACCTCTGGGAAGCTGTTTGTAAGAAATAAACAAGGTTTGTGAATAGAGCTCTACTACTCTGGAACCTGCTGGTTTTCACTCGTTGATTTTCTAGATTACCTCGGTAACCTTATGTCAACAGAAACCTAGCTTCTTATGAGCAAACTTAAATACCACTGTTCTGCACAGAATGGTACACCAACTGCTTCCTCATTCAGTGTTGGGATTTGGATTTCTAGATCAGAAACACAGACCAACAATTACAACATTTTGTGACATTAACAAGTGACAAATGAAGTTGCCACTTTCCTTCCTTTCTTCATGTAACATTTATTGACTACCTAATCCTATGGGGGATGCTAGTGATACAAAGATAAGGCATGGTTTTTTCCTTCAAAGATCTCAATCTAATCTATAAAATATACATGAAATGCACATGACACTATAAAGGGACAGATGTTATAAGCACCGTGGAGACCAGAAGGTAGCAGCCTAGCGCATCATCCTTCACAGAGGTGATGTTTTAATTGGGTATAAACTGGTGACTAGCAATTTGCCTGGTGGAAAAAGGGTGATAGAAATAATTCCTTAGGCAGAGAGGAAATCATATACAGAGATGTGGCACTGAGAGAGGGTGTGGCATGCCAGGGAATTATAAGTTCTGTGTGGTTGCAGCCTAGAGTTTGGGGAAATGATGGAAGAAGCGGCAGAAAAGTCTAGATCTTCTTATCTAGGCAAGGGTGTGAAGTGATCATGGGAACTGAACGCAGGTATGCAGGGCTGCTGAGACATAAATTCACTGGGGTGGGGGAGGGTGAGTAAGATGAAATCCCACGGGGAGGACTAGTTCTACCAAGTAGCCAATGCAAACACATCTAGACAAGCATTTGCAGACAGAAAGTCCAAGCATAGCGATGAACTGTACTAGTTTAAGCCATCATTTCTGGAGTCACTGTTACTATTTCTCTCATAGATCAGGAGAGAAAGAAAGCCATCTCCTTTCCTTGTGAAAGGATACTGTTCATGGCAGGATACTATTCTCCACACACTGGCCATCGTTCTCCCTCACCAACCAAACCTCACCTCTCCAATGCATCCTCCACACTGCTGCCAGAGTCATCTTCCTAAAACACAGCGTAAAACCTGGCTTCTCAGTGGCTATAAAATCTGAAACTCAAATTCTTCAGCAGCCTTAGCTTTTCCTCATACAACATACCTTTCTACACTTCTGCACTTTTGCTCAGGTGGGAATGACATGTCTTTCTCCGCTGTTCTGAATCTGTCAAAATGCTATTTTTCTATCAAAGACCAGCATAAGGGCCACCTCCTCAATGAAGCCTCCTTGAATTCTTCTCATCATGATTCTTTCTTCCTTTTTGACCCCTAACATCTTGCTGTTCCAGCTAAGCACCAGTTTACTCTGCTTTGTCTTTTAGGTGGTCTTTGGGAACTTTTGGAGTGGGCATCTTGACTTGAGAGAAGAAAAAGGACGGAAGGTTGGCTTCTGAATAGATACAGTAAGTGACTCCTAGACCAGTATCCAGTATTCAAAGGCAGGTCAGCAATAAATGAGACACAGTTAGAGGTAAAGTGGAAGACTGCATTTTCCGAATTTGGCCTGCAAAAATATTTCCCAAGCTCTCCTACAAAGTGGCCTCTCATCAAGAAAAGGAGCCCAGTAGGGCCTGGGTGGCTCGGTCAGTTAAGCATCTGACTCTCGATTTTGGCTCAGGACAGGATCTCAAGGTTCATGAGACCAAGTCCCATGCTAGGCTCTGTGCTGACAGTGCGGAGCCTGCTTGGGATTCTCTCTCTCCCTCTCTCTCTGTCCCTCCCAACTCGTGATCCCCCTCTCTCAAAAATAAATAAACATTTTTTTTAATTATAAAAAATATATTTTTAAAAAAGGGAGCCCATTTCCCTCTCCTTGAATCTAAGATGGCCTATGACTCACTTGCAACCAACAGAATGCCGCAGAGGTAATGCTTCTGAGGCTAGGTCAGAAATAGCCACACAGCTTCTTCCTGGTTCTTTTGGGATGCTTGCTCAACCTCCGTGTAAGATGTCCAACCACCCTGAGAAGTGAAACACCCCATGTACATGGTTCCAGTAGACAGTCCCAGCTGGTCCTATACTTCCAACCATCCCCATCATGGTGCCAGACACATAAGTCCTCTTAGACCGTCTCAGCTGGCCCATGTGCCAGCTGAGTATCAATGAATAACTTCAGCCATCTCAGTAGGGGCAGAAAAATCTCCTAGCTAAGTCCTGTCCAAATCTCTGACTCACAGAATCTGAAACATATTTTAATGGTTACTGTTTTTTTGTTTTTGTTTTAAGTTTTTATTTAAATTCCAGTTAGTTAACATACAGTGTGATATTAGTTTCATGTGTAATGGGAACTGTTTTAAATTACTAAAGTTTAGAGCCCTTTGGTACATAGTAGTAAGTACCAGAAAAGCCAGGGAATGATTCCTCAAGCTGATAAGTCTCCTGAAAGAGTGATAATCACTGGCCAACTCAAGATGAAAGCTTCTAGGGGCTCGTGGTAACATTTAGGGTGCTTGGTAAGAACCACAGAGTCACTTGGGTCCTACCCAAGTGAACATGAGG